GCCCAGGCCCGGCTGTTCCCTGTGGGAGGCAGCAGCTGCTGTGGCCAGAGTGGAGAGAAGAGCCCAGCTCCCCCTCCCACACGGGCGGCACGGCTGTAGCAGTCTGTGGAGGGGGGCAGATGTTGGCTGGCAGTTCTGGCCTCGGGTCTCCCTGCCCTACCGCTCTCCCCCCGAGGGCCTCTGTGGCCCAGCAGGCAGGGTCTGGTATGGCAGGGCAGAGCAGGGGGGAGTGAGAAGGCTCGTGCCACTGCTGGGAGCCCCGCGCTGCCGTGGCGAAGCACCCCCTGCTCACCCAGCAGCAGCAGGGGGCACTATTCAGTGCTGCCACCCTTGCTGCTGCTGGGTGGGTAGAGGGCACCTTGCCATGATGGTGTGGGGCTCCCAACAGTGGCCCAAGCCTCCCCACCTTGCTCTGCCATGCCCCACTGGCTTCTGCCCACTGGCCCATGGAGGCCCCAGATAGAGGGCAGCAGGGAGGGGAGCCCCAAGCCTGCAGCCACCAGCCTGCAGCCACTCCACCCTGTGCACAAATCTGGCGGGGCACATGCTCCCTACGCCACCCCCTGGAGTGCACGCAACGGCTGGGGGCCGCACCCCCCCCAGATAAGCCACTTACGGCTCCATCCTGCTCCTTGCCTGCGCCAGTCCCAGGCCCCCCACACCACGCTGGCTGAGTAGCAACCCCAACCCCAGTCCCACCCCAGCCTATCTTCCTTCCTCACTATGGGGGCCTCAATCCCCACCTCCGCCCTGACTTACCTGCAGGGAGCTGCTCTCATGGCACCTGCCTGGCTGCCCTCCTCCTGCTCCCCCCAGCCCCTTGCAGCCTGGAACTCTGCCAGCCTGCATGGGGAAACCCACCGTTTCCCGCATTTTTTCTCCTTTAAAGGAGAAAATCTGTGGTTTTCTCCTTAAAAGAGAAAATCTGCGGTTTTCTCCTTAAAAGAGAAAATCTGCATTTTTTTCCTCAAAATAATAACATTAATGTTTTTACACATTTTCCTGTGGTGAATGGAAAACTTGGATCTCTGGTGACTACAGGTTTCCTGTTTCTTTCTTCAGCCTAAACCGTCTAGGGCTGCTGTTACAGCAGCTGCATTTCAGTCAGAGTTGTTGTTGAGTAAGAGTGCCATATGCTGGAATGAAAATTAACTATCTGCCAACATTGCTGGCCTGGCAGATAAGTACTAGAGGCCTTGTGCCGGCACAGGCGGCTACACATTGAGGCATTCCGTGATTCAGCCATATTTATAGTAACAACTTCATGGCATCAGCTGGATTTTTCCATATCATCCCAGCATGGCTGAAAGATAAGAGCTGAGAGGCTAGGAATGGAGCATTACCTTGTGAGAGACTTGAGCAGCACCAGCAAGGCCATAGTCACCCGATTCTGCCCATAACTCCAAATGCAGAATCTCTGGTCTTGATGGTGTTGACAAGTGTAGCAATGATGAAACATCCTGTAATTGTGCAATAAATGATGGGATGTTTTATCCTATCCCGACAGACTCAAGCATGGCAGTTTCATGACTCCACGCACTGAGAATCATACAGAAATTGTCAACATGCTAATGTTGGCAAGACAAAGTGCGATGAGCCACAGATATGCTCATGCAGGAGAAAAGGTAGGTGAATGATGGCCAGGCAATGGATGGGTCAGGAAGCTGCATGGAGGAGTTTGTCCTGGAAGGTCTAGGGAGAGACCCATGGACACAGGGCCTTAATTCTGTGGCATGTCCTGTTCCTCCCTGGCCATGCCCCACAGCTTCCAGTAGCCTGGCAAGTCAAGTCTTTGATACCCTTGCATTAAAGGACTATCTGATCCTGCTGCCAATGGTTCTCTTCTACTCTCACAGTTTCTTCTTACAGACTGAACAGGGCTCTGGGAGTCCCGTCTTCTTACAGATTGCCCATCACCCTAGTATGCAAGCGTAGCAGAAAGCCCCTTTTCCTCTTGCCTGCAGTTGCTCTCCCCTCCTTGGATATGTTTTTCCTCTTCTACCTTTTCTTCCTTCCTCTTTCTTTCACTTTAAGATAAGGAACTGTATTTTGAAATTTGTGTGTGCGCATTTTGTATCTCCCCTTGTATTTTGGTATTTTTATCTATTTGTGTGCCATGGCATTACTTTTGTAGCTTATATTTTATACTCCTCACCTTTCAACTAAATGTGTTTAGTTTCATAAGTAAGTTATACATTGTAGCAATGTTAACAAGGGCAGGAATCAAACTGCCCTTCTCTATATTAGGCTGGCCCCTGAAAGAGCGAGTGAATCAGTGATTGATTGAATGTGTAACACGGTAGCAGGCAGCAATTAACACCTGGGAGACTGCAGATCAACCAATGGAAGAACTCAATAGAAGACAATGTAACAACCAGGAAATCTCTAAACCTCACTGATCAAGGGCTAGAAGCCCTGGCCTGAGTTAATCAACGCCGGGACCAACTTTTGGGCTGAAGGCGAGCGGGGGGGGGGGGGGGGGGGAAGTCCTACGAGGGTCAACGACTCCTGGATTGGGCAAACCTGAAAGATGGGGAGTCACTAAAGTCTGCCAAGGACAGATAAAAAGCAGTGAAAAGTGACCCTCAGCAGCGCCCTCTTGATCTCCAACTTGACCAGCACCCGACCTATCCAGCCAGAAGGACCAGCCGGCGACCCCCTTCTGGAAGATAACACCACGCTGAAAGAAGCTTCAACGACAGACTCCAGCACCTGTGGGATAGGTATACCTGACTCTTGTAACTTGCTACTGTGTGTGTGTGTAAGGACCAGCCCCAAGGCTTATGATTTAACTCATTACAGTGTTTCAATCCGCCTAATACACCAGAATTTTAAGGATCCCGAGTTGGACATTTGTAGCCAACACAAGATGTGTCAGTACTGCTCACTTCAAACAGAGCACTAGTGAGACATGATATAAACAGTATTGCAGTAGTATTGTTCTCAGTGATAAAGCCAGGCACTACTGTCTGGGTAATTTTATGGGTCAATTACTCATTTTACCAAAATGACTTAAGTTGTGTGACTACCAGCCTTTTTAGATGTAAAAAGCTATCAGCTGAGGGCAATCTGTCCATCTCCCCTAAGACTATTGTTCTGAATTGTACAGGGTTCCTGTTAGACCAACAAAAAGTTGGAAATAAATTGATAGTTAAAAAAATATTAAATGGCCACAGTTCTCAATTACAGATGTTTACTTTTTTTTGTTTAAATGAATTAAAGTGCAAAAACTTCCAGCCTACCTCCAATTCATCAGCCAACATCCACCAGTGTCCATCCTGGCTTGCATTTGATGTTCTTGTGGATCATTTGAAATCCCCAAACAAGTCAGGCCTCAGCGGTCACTCTGATCTTCTCTTTTGGCGCAGACTTATCTTACTTATTCCATCTACTCTGCAGTGACAGAAAAATGTGGATACTGTCTTGACATTGCTTCTCATTCTCACCTGTCAGTGAACTGACTGAGCTTTAGCCATTGTGTGCTTAGACTAGTATGTTGGCTCGCAGCCTACCAGGTCCAGGTGCTGTAAACTGATCTAAGTCTGAGTAGGTCCATGAATCGGGAAAGGGGAGCCTGCCAGGGAAGCAATATATGAAGGAAGCACTGGTAGTGCTCAGCTCCCATCTCTGTTGTACCCTGATGCCTGACTCCTGCGCTCAGGCCTGGTCAACATGGTATATGGTATGCTGGTAGTTTTGCTGCCAGAACTGAGGTTCTGCCAGCAAAACTGTGACTACATCTACAATCTAAGTTCCCCTGTGGCAGCAGAGCCTGATTACATTTCAGGTGTGTGCTTAGGGCCTCAGCTCCCAGAGCTGTGTCGTAACACACCAGACTCTAAGATACTTATTTTCACTAGAGCTAGAGTTGCTGGTCCCTAGGGCTATAGAGAACAGTTTGGCAACACCAGACAGCAATGATAGAGGGAAGCCTGACTGGGCCTGTGGACTGCTCCTGCCCTGAAGAGCAGTGGCTTACAGGCAGAGAAGAAACCTCACTAGCAGAACTCCCCTGCTCCTTGAAGACGGAAGGAGCAGGCCTTGGACATCTCACTGGATTCTACAGCACTGCCTCTCCCTCCTGCTGACCTCCTGCCTAGGTGGTGTAGCTTGGAGGGGAAGAGGCAACTGCCCCAACTAGGGCCCAAGATGAGCTGTAGATTGTGCTGGCTCCTGGAAGGAGCGTTCCCTCCTTTCCTACATGCTTTGACTGACAGTGACATCCTGAAGGGCGCTGCTATTTTGAACGCTCATCCAGCCACTGTCTCAGCCTCCCCCAGGTGAACTGGGCAGGCCACCCTTCTCAGAGGAAGCATTTCAAGCCACCCGCTGACCTCGCAGCTGCACCCCATGCGCACAGCTCCAGCTTTCGAGGCTTTCTCTCTGCCATTGCAAGGAACCAAGGCATTTTCGCCAGGGAAATCTGAGATCCTGGCCAACACATCCACGGCCTCAGGCAGCTGCTGGCAGGCTGGCTGGCTTGGGGCCACTTCGAGGCCAGTGTGCGCAGTCAGACCCTGGCACATAGGAAGGAAACCAGCTGCAGATGATGGGGTCTGCTGCTGGGGGGGAGGGAAGGGGAGGCGAAGCTAAGCTGCCATCAGAGCTTGGCTTTGGTCTCCCGGGGGCACTGATCCGGCTTTGTGCTCCATCCCCGTGGCTGTTAATAAGTGCTTGGAGCCGCTAATCCTCTCTCTAGGCCCTGGCATCGCGGAGGCGGCACCGCAGCCCTTTAATCCGCAGCAGCGCGGCCCCTTCCTGCCCCCTCCAGGAAGGGCCGGGCCGGGCCGCGCCGCCCCGCGCAGCAGCCCCTAGAACGTCCTGTGCCTAGAGCCTAGCTGGAGCCATTGTGACGCCAGCGAGGGAAGGCGCTGCGGGCGCGACCATTGGCCCGAGCGCCGAGGGGGGCGGGCACGGAACGTGGCTGTTTGTGTTTAAACGTTCCAGCGCGAGGGGCGGGGGGAGGGGCCGCGGGGGGGGGGGCGGGGGCCGTGGGGGGGGGGAGGCCGAGCCTGGCAAAGCAGCCCTACGTTGTCCTGCCCCGGGCCGGCAGCAGCATGGTGCCCGCGCGGAGGGTCAAGACCGAGTACATGAAGCGCTACAAGGAGCCCAAGTGGGAATCGTGCGGCGCCTGCTACCTGGAGCTGCTGCGCTACCGCCTCAGCCGTCGCCTCCTGGAGCAGGCGCACCGGCCCTGGCTCTGGGACGGCTGGGAGCAGGGCAGCGCCGGTTCTGGCTCCGGCTCCGGCTCTGGCTCCCCATCGCCGCCCGGCTCCGCCAGTCCCCCGCAGCAGCAGCAGCAGCAGGAGGCAGCGGAGAGGAGTAGCCCGGCGGAGCCCCCGCGCGGGGAAGGTACGTGCGTGCGGGGGATGCTTAACCCCCCCTCTGCCCCCGACATGTAGCGGGAATAGGGGGGCAGCAGAAGCCTGGGAGATCCCCAGGGAGAAATGACCGCGGTTCACTTGCGCTCTTGCTTTGCTCCCTTTCCCCCACATCTGCCGTGCAGAGGTGAAATCATCACACTGACTCCTTGGATGGCGGGCGGATCAGCCATTAGGCAGGAATGAGCAAAAGCATCACTTTTCCTAGGAGCACGCAGCTCCGGTGCAGAGGTGTCATGGGAGGAGGGCAGTGGTCAGTGATGCTGTGCCCCTCTCCTTGGACACTGCCTTCCCTGTGAGGGATGCCCTGACAGGCACCTGGGACAGGTCTCTGCCACCCGGATAGTCCCTTCCAGCCCTTGGTATAGGAATCTTAGCTGTGCTCTGGCCATGATACGGCTGTTCGTTCATCACAGAATGAATTGCAGCTTGACATTCTTAATTTAAGAAGGATTGTAAGATCGTTTTGCCAGAGAAACAAGGAGTTGGGGGAGTTTGCTTCCTGTGCAGCCAGAATGAATCGATGCCTTTATGTTTTTTCTTATGTAATGTCCCCAATTTAAGCAGGTTATGATAAAGGCTGGATTGATCCTGTCAGACACTGGCACAGGTCACTGTACAGTGGCTCAAGGCTGTCCTGTTCACCTTGCGTGCTCCTAGGGCAGGGGTGGGCAAAATGCGGCCCACCAGGCCATTCTATCCAGCCCACGGGGGCCCTAAAAATTTGGAAAATTAATATTAATCTGCCCTGGGCTGCCTGTCATGTGGCCCTCAATGGCTTGCTGAAACTCAGTAAGCAGCCCTCTACCCAAAATAACTGCCCGCCCCTGTTCTAGGGGGAGTGTGGTCTGGTGCTTTGCTCATTCCTGCCTAATGGCTGATCAGCCTGCCGCCTGTGGTGATAGTGGGCCCTTGCCAACAACTAGCAAGCTTTGTCCAGTGTCTGGTAACTGTTTTTGGTCATAGTTGGTCTGGACTGAATTAAGGCACAAATGCCAAAGTGTAAGGAAGGTCAGGGCTCAAGGTCACTAGGGCCCTTGAGAACCTGAGACTTTGTGGTGGGAAGGGTATTGCGGGTGTCCAGTATCTTGTGGTCTCACGTTGCAGGACCCACCTGAAATGGGTTAAGGAAAGTCACGTTTTGTGGTCCCCCTTGCTTTATCCTATGGCATCATAGGCATCTTGTGTTGTGTCATGGTTGATTGTGGTTTCTCTAAGAGGTTAAATTATGGATTTGTATGGGATAGTTTTTAATAAGGGATGATCCTGCCTCGGGTAGGGGGTCAGGTTAGATGACCTCAAGATCACTTGCATCCCAACCTATATGATTTGAAGTGAAAGCTTGAACATGCAGTGAAAGATGTGGTGTACATAAGTCTAGTGACAAGCAGTCCTAAGACCATATATGTATTTTGACTGGACTTAACGAGTTCGGCACAAGGCTAGTGCAAGAAACAAGCTACGTTTTGTGAAATGTCTTCAAATAAACAAACTGATGGTAACTATCACCTGACTCGCAGCTTCTTGATGTATATTGTTGCCATGGTATCAGTGTGTCATGGTAATTACATAAGCAGGTTCTCTGGCAGAAGCAGCAGTAATAGCAGCAGGAGCAAGAAAGGCTGCATGTTGGTAATGTGTGTTTTAAGAACACTTCCACTTCAGATTGGCTACAGTAGCTTCTCTGTCACTGCAGAAGGATGTAACAATTAACGTGGAAACCTATAGAGACTTTTCTAGTTCCATAAAATGTCTACGAAGATATGCTGGAATAGCAAGCAGCGCATGTGGGCTTCGATCTCTAATTATAATGCCTCTTAAATGAATATCTGAGAAACTTGTTAGGTAGTTGGTCCTTTTCCTGGGGAACCTTGCAAACTGGACCTTCAAAAAAGTACATATTGCAGCAAAGCCATGATCTTCCCCCACCACCTCCATTATGTTATGGCCTCCCATAGCTGGATGGATATAGTTGCACTTAATTTGGTCTCTGATCATAGATCTAAGTCCTGCAGCCTCTTCATTACTGTATCAAGAGTATTTTGCCCCCAAATCCTCTTGAATATATTATAGCGATCAATGCTTTTGATATTCTAGCCCAGATTAGGATTTTTTTAAAAAAGTGTTTCTGTTGAAGGTTGACAATGGGTATTATAGGGAATTGTAATTACTTTCACAGGTAGCAATCTGTCAAGTGGATAAGAGCACTTTATGGTAGGCAGACAAGGTTTCTTGGGTGAATTTGATATCTTTTATTAGACCAACCCAAATAGTTGGCGAATAGTTATTAAGCAAGCTTTCGAGTTCAAAAACCCTTCGTCAGGCTAAGGAAGTTTCAGCAGTTGGTGTGTGCTCTTCCTGGATGGAATGAATGGTACTATGCATGCACCTTGTGTGTTCCTGTGAATATCTGAGCTGTGAAGGTTGTGGCCTGCATATGTGAGTTAAAAGGAAACATTCCAGTAATGAGGGATGCGAAACTCCACTTTGTTTCAAGTTGCATGTTGGGAAGCTCATGCTACAGGCCACGCAAAAACCAAAGAACCCATGCTGGTTTGACTATGCAAAGTCTCTGTAACGATTTAGATTGCAGAACAGTTTTTGCTACTTAATAACAACACTGTCACTTTTTTCTAAGGGCCCAACGGATGACAAAAGTTGCAATCATATAATTTAATCTTTCTCAAGAACTGTAAGGATGGAGGATACATGTTGGCTACATATTTACTAGCCCTGGGCTGAGTGGTTAACAGGACCTTTTTCATGTGGACTAAACTTTTTTTGTTAGGCCTTTCTTCTTCAGATTAAAAACAGACCTATTGTAGATACCAGATAGATATAGGCTATTGAATTAAGAAGGTGGAGGGAAAAATAAGGGTAACTAAAATAACCCAAAACCAGAGACCTTTTCTCTTTTGGTCATGCTATGAACATTTGATGCTGGGTAATGTGGTAACTTACATTTCCTAGCTGCTGAGCAAGCGTGTTGTGTATATGTAACATCTTTGCTTGGTGCCTTTTAACTCTCAGAGGGCAAAAAGGAAGTAGTAGAAAACATAACGTTCATGAAGAGGTAGTATCTGTTTCTACCAGTGCTGTGGGGGTGCCATGTATCAGCTAGCTCTTCCAAGCTTTGTGACTATTATCCACCCACACACTTCAGTTTTCTGATAACAGCAGCTTCTCCTGGCAAGCTGCTATTGTGAGTACAATGCATTAATTCTAGTGGCTGGTCATTTATCAGAGCTCAGATGTCCAGTCAGCTGGCTTGGTGCTAGACCCCTTGTGCTTCTTGGTTTAAGTCACAAATACCAGATTGTTCAGTGGCTAGGACATCTTGTTCTAGTGCTGGGATATTTTGCTGCTGTGCTAAAATTCACGGGCACTACTGCTGTTTCCTTCTCTGAGGAATAATGGCCATAATAGTAGTCATGTTGAAACTTCAGTTACTGTGTAACATTTTTAAAGACTTGTTCAGCATAAAACTGTTGTGCAGGTTAACGCTGGGACCCTCTTCAAACTAACTCTTCAATTCATGGATAGGGGAGAAGGAAGTTGAGGAAGAGGAGGTAGTGTTTTGTTCCACCTCTGCAGAAACCTCATGTTAGGGACAGCACTGCTCCTCCTCTTGGATCTGTGCCAAGTAAGTGTTGTTTGGACATTAGCTGATGAGCCCACGTGGACATCTCCAATGCTAACCTCTGCATTGGCACCTAAGGCATCTTTCAGCTATTGCAAGAGGGTTCTGACACTGCAGTTGTCAAACTGAATGAAAACACTGGTTGATTTATCTTCCACTACAAATTGTTCTCTACCAAAACTCCGTGAACTCTTACTTGCCTAAAAAAAATCCACCCCCCTTGCCTTTTATAATAAATCAACTTTGTTCCCACACACTTGTACCTTTTTATACCAGTGCTTTTTAAATGGTTCGGGTTCTTGTGTAGATGGGATGCTGTAGCTTGGCTTACAGTACAAGTGGCGTTAGCCTGAAAACTCTTGTCTGGCTCTCTTCTACTATTCAAGGAAAATAAATGCATTTTGTTTCTGACTCTGCAATCACATCTTGCATTTGCTTCCATGCATATAAAATACAGAGAACATTTTTTTTCTTGCCCCTATCTCCTTGCAGTCCTGTCCAGTGCCGCCTTAGTCTAGGATAGAACTGGCCAACAGGCAGCTTCTAGGCCAGGGGCCTCTCATGCCCCTTCTCCCCCCACCATATCTAGTGTATTCAGTTACCACTGATGGTGAAAACGAAAAAGGGGGAGCGAACATTCACCCTCTGCTCCAAGTTCCAGAGCCATGCCAATAAGGACTAGTGTGTTTCCCTAGGGTAGTCAATATTGACTTGGACACAGTTCATTCATATTGAAGGGCCTTGTCTTCAGCATGACCCTGCCTCAGTTTGTAAGTCAGCTTCTCCAAAACAAAAAGCAGCTGAATCTCTCTCTCTCTCTCCTATTTTGGGGGGTATTTGCCTTGAACTCAAGTTCTACAGAGAAATTGTGAGCAGCAGTTCCTTAGAGTAAATCTTTTTTGTGAACTAGATCTAAAAAAATTAAAGATTCTTTAATCTTGGCGAATGGGGGCGGGACTGAATGAGACTGGAAGGGAGTCTGCAGTGAATAGTATCTGGATGCATAGTATCTACAGCAGAACTCTTTAATTTGCAGTGTATGCCCATGCTGATATGTGGGAATAATATGGCAAAGAAAAATGTGGTTGTTTATGTAGTCCTTATTCTGGTCTATTGAAAGAGCAAACAAACAATTACCCTGGAAGTGCCTGTATAGCTATGATACTTACTCTTCTACCTACTACCCCCAACATACAGAGAACCTGTTAATATAGCACAAAAAATGACTAAAGAATTTTTCTCCAAGGGAACCACAGAGAGGGAGAAGCTAGGAGTGGTGTAATAGCACTGCGGGGGAAAAAATCAAATTGTTGGCATGGAGACTGATTTGTACGTGTAATGAGCATTTCTGACTTTCCTTTGGGACCTGTAATGGAAGAGAGGAGTTTGCAGGCTCTCTACTGGGAGGGGATGCTTGGGATGCGGGGAGGCTAAAAACACTGTTTAGCACAGCAGACTGATGTGAGGGGAGAAAACCCTGTATGAGCTGCAGCACATTCCTCATTCAGTATCTCAAACCTCTATGAAAATAAAACTGACAGGTGACCTAGCTACACTAGACTGGTCAAGTGTTTGGAAATACCTTTTCTGTGCCATGGGAATCTCCTGTGTTACAACAGAGCTGCTGCAGTAGCTGCTGCCTAATTCCTGTGCAAATTGGTAGGAAAGTGACCTTTTGTTTCCTTGAAGTTCTGCCACCAGAACTGGTCATCTCAGTGCTGCCTTCTCCCAGCTGGGGCCGGACATGGGCATAGGCAAACTGGGCAGCTGCCTGGGGCCTGCACAGAAAGGGAGCCTGAAAAATGGTATTTTTTTCCCCCCATTGTCCGATTTTTATTATTACTATTGTGATCTCTGGCAAAGGGGGGCCCGATTTACTAAAAGTTCACCCAGGGCTGCCGGGAGCCTAGGTATGGTGCTGCTCCCAGTCAGTGTTCAGCAGCATCAGTTTTCTTAAATGAAAGAGTCCTGGGTATACATTCTGCAAAAGAAACTTCTTGGTTTCATCCTCTTGCCCCTACAAGAACGGGTATTTCTGCAGTGTTGACAGCCCTGTGAAATCACAGCACAACTCAGCATCCAGGGGCGTCATCCTGCTTGTACTGCTGATGGTCGTGATCGCAGCACTTAGTCCCAGGTCACTCAGTGCAGTGCAGTTTCAAATTGATGCCAAGAGGAATTGGGAGGGTTTGTCACCTGAGTGACATAAGTCCCAGAATACCTGTAGTTCTTGGGTTGTATCCCAGAACACACAGCATGGAAATTCAAGAGTAGAACAATGGGTCATCGGATGCCTGCCCAGACTGCTGAGCAGTGAGAGCGAGCAAAGCTGCACGGATGCAGTGGGTAAATAGAAAAATGGCATCATAAAGTGGGAAGGGTACCTTTGCTACAGTGAAATGGCAGCTTTTCAAGTGAATGAACCAAAGCTGCTTCATCACCAGGGATCCTTGTTTTCTATGTACTGTATATGTATTTAATTTTAATTGCAGGAAAACATGGATTTTTGGGTTGGTTTTTTTTTTTTTAATTGGAGGATTTGGGAGGATATATGCATTTCCTGCTTATAAATAGTCAGTTGAACCTATAATTTTATTGATATATTTACAATTTTGAAGTCATTTTGGAAGCCTACCAGTGCCTCCAATCATTTATAATGAAATGCATTCTAAATACCTAAGTGTTTTGGCATTTTGATTCTATGGGGGTTTTTTTTTTTTAATTTTTTAAATTTATTTTCTTTAATATGGAAAATCGGAGCTCTTCCTGCTCCCTTCACTCACCAGGATACAGTTCCAGTGGTGTCTGGTGTTTCTTCCCCTTGGTACTCTGTAGTGCTGAGCAACCCTGATATGCCAGGGGTCCCAGTGGTGGTGGTGACAGCAGAAAAGTCTTGCTGCCCCACTTCATCCTCTGATGCCAGGTCCCCCCACTCCCTTCTGACCTAGTGCCTATGGTGCCCAATCTCCTTCCTGGGAATGCATGCAGCAGCAGGGAGTTGCACCCCCACCTCCCTCATGGGTTGCCCATGGCTCTGTCCCACTCCCTGGCTGGGCCCTGCAGCCATGTATACCACCCTGGCTGGGCAGAGGTCCCAGCTGCCAATCCTGCCCCACTCCCTCCCTCACCATGGGGGCTTGGAGTGAGCTGCCATCACTGCCTCAATATGCTGCAGCCCCCCCCACCCCGACCCCAACCCAGCCCAGAGTTACCTGCAGGCAGCTGTGGGAGCTGTTCTCAACCATGCTGCCTGGCTGCCACATACGTGCCCCTACCTGTGATTTGCCTTCCTTCTGCTACCAGCCCCAAGCAGCCCTTTGCAGACTGGAACTCTCCCAGCCTGCAAGGGGAAACCTAGAGTTTCTTGCATTTTTCTCCTTTAAAAGAAAAAAAAAATCATGTTTTCCACAAATGGAAAACCTGGATCCCTGCTCATCACTGTGTAGATGAGACCTTTTTAAGCTCCAGAGGCAGGAATATAGATTGCCACTTTCCCCACTTCTGCTGATTCCTCCAAGTCGTGTCAGCTAAATAATTCTTGATCTAAACTAATTCCCCACTCCACTCCTTCCTCCCCAGTTTTACATGAATGAAGACTGTGTCCCATTAATCATCCTTATTCAATCTGTTGGTATTGCAAGAGTCCCCTTTTACTGGGCATCACTGGGCTATAGCCAGAGCCACCTGAGCCTCAAAATAAATATTCTGTGACTCCTTTTTCCTCTGAAATGACTGCTTTCTCCCATACCACCTGAGTACTCAGACTCTAGCAGGGTCATCTTGCTCTTTGGTGAAACTGAAAACCTGCTCTGCAAATGTATCAGCAAGAGCTTCAAATGATGGGTGTTCTTTACAGTCAGTTTGGCTCAGCTTGGGCACTAACCATGTATGGCCAAAGACCTCTGAATTTGGCTGGCTTTCACTTTTTGTGATTGAGTGTAGGGCTTCTGTGTTGTGAAGGCATCTGGAATAAGAGGATGTAGAAGTTGCATGATCTCCCCTTTTTAAGGCTCTAGCAAAGTACAGCAAATATATGACGCGAGGGATGCACCCTCTTGAGTTTAGGGAAGCAGTTGACATGTCTTTCTCCATATGTCAAAGGTAGGTTGGGGTGATGGAAGGGGGGTGCTGCTGCCCACATAATGGCAGTAGTGCTTAAAATGAGAAGTTAAGGGGCAAAGAGGTCTTTGCATTTGCTTTTGTGCCCAGATGCTAGGCCAGCTGGGTTGTATGTAGCAGCTTTGGGTCTTGCTGTGGTAACTGTTTTCATTAGATGGTTCTTTTTAACAGTACAACTAGTCAGATATTATGGAATGATTTCAAAACTGAGACATCTCTTCTTATGCCCACAGCGTCCTTCTGCAACTAACTTTTACCATGCCAATCATTTTGAATTTTGCTGTAAGTGATGATGAGAAGTGAATTTTCTCAAGGGTTTTCAAGTTAGGGCAGAAAAGGTTGCCCTAAAGTCTGTGCTCTTAAAATTGTGGCATTTCACTCTGAGGAAAACGTTTCTAAATGGGGCACTTGAGACATGAGGGTATTTTTGTTGCATAAACAAGTCTTTAACAGGCCTATTAAGAGCACTGTTTCTTAACCATGCTGAATCAGCTGGGTGAAATCCTAGTAATGCAGGGCAAGTAGAGTGCTGGGGCTCATGACTGCCCAGTGCAGAGTTGTTCCTGGGGGCAGAACTGTGAGTTGGGAGGATTTTCAGTTGGGCCAAGTGGAAGTGGAGCAAAGAAACAGGTGTGGGAGGGTGGAGGGGAACAGGGTTTACAGCACTGGAGTGGAGCTGTCCATAAAAATAGTGCAAGACTTCCATTACTCTCCAGTGCAGGGGGTGGGGTTGGCAATCTCTAGCCCGCACAAGTCCAGTCTCCCATGGGGAGCGCAGAACTGCTCCATGCCACCCATGCCTCCCACAGCTTGCAGCTCACAGCAGGGGCTGGGTCACAAAGGGTGGCTTAAACCAAGTAGAGGTTGGCATAACGATTGTAGCTAGGGAGGTTGTAGTCTGGGTTTGGAATGGACCCGGGAACCTAAAAGCAAACAATGGTCCTAACTTTCCTGCCAAGCCAATAGACCAGCTAGTAATGCAAAGCTTTACTTTTTAGGAGCCCAGATGGTGTGTTTTGGGTGTTTTTGTTTTTGTTTTTTCCCTTTACTGAACACTATTGTGGCTTTACAGTACTGGACAGTAACTGGCAAATTGGCCTTTACTTTCCATGTCCAGAAAATGCATGCAATCCTGCTGACTTTTACTTCAAAACTCAAAAAAATGTTCAGAGGGCAGTATTGCAGGTGCTGGACCCATTGGGCTAAGTGTGGTGCTTAGCACCACCTCCCACAACTTGTGGTGTGGCAACATGCTGACCAAATCTGCATTTAAGCTGCCCCCCCCCCTCTTCCTTAGAAAGCATCAGGAGCTTTTGGATAAGGGAGTCCAAACTGCCTGCTTAGTATCCCTACAGTATAAGGGGGCATATTTCATGTGCTTTATTCAAATCTGTCCCTAGCTGTAGTGACAGGCTGGCAAAGACTGAATGCCATATGGGAGCCCACTTTTGTTGGCTGCATGGTGGGGATTGCAAGAGAATAAATGCAGGCTGATGGAGTGGAAGGAGGGGAGAGGCTAAGTACCATGAGGTCAGATAAGTGCTGTTGGGTAGCTCTGGTCTCGCTTTTTTTATTTATTTATTTTTAATCATGAGTGCACATTCACTGGATCCTCAATGTAGGCAATCCTATTTGGAGTACGGGAAGATCGCTGATAAAGGGAACACATTTGTGTATAAATGAGAGTATAGAGATGAGAGGGAGTGTAAATAGTATAGTGTACATTTTTAAGCTGCAAATCCTTGAACTAGGGTAAGTAACTTCAATCTGAAGTACTAGTTATGAGGAGCAAGTATCAACTCCATTGATGCCCTGGTTTGCAGCTAAACTTATTTGCATTTAGCAAACAGCCATCTCTCTGCTCCCTTGCTGTCTAGAGGTCCAGCCCTATGATAGCACCTGCTGCTTAGGTCAGCTGCATGTCTCTCTACCTCATCCTGGCGCGATCCGGGTTGTCACAGATCCCGCTGTAGATTACCCCAGGCTACATAAAAGCATCTCTCTTGGGGACATACAGGCTTGTATCTGGTGCCTTGAAGCTGGCAGCTGTTCTAATTTTGTTTAATACATTGTTTTAAGAAGAGCTCTTAAATCTCTCTCTTTGTCTCTCCCTAGATAGCTAGTATCTGCATGTAGGGGCATGCCGTTTTGGCTTTTAAAAGCTTTAAAACCAAACTTATTTTTAACTTTCTCCTTTAGAAAAAGAAACGGAGGGAGAAAATCAAGAAAAAGCTGCAGAACAGACTGCTGTGAAAGAAACTGATAAATCGACCAGCCGTGCAGGCCAGCGTCCAAGTCGAAGTGCCTTGTCCAGTCGTGATGATCGAAAATCAACTAAAAGTCCTCAAAGGACAGAAGCGCCAAAGGAGAATAAACATCCGTTTGCTTTATATGGTTGGGGAGAAAAGCAGACGGATACAGGAAGCCAGAAAACTCACAATGTCTGCGCATCTGCCTCTGTACGTGAAGTCAGTAAACTCTCAAATGCCCTTACAGTTGTGGTTTTTTTTTTTTAATCCTGCATAGGCAGGGGAAAGCAGTGACACCTACATGCATGTAATCAATTAGGATGGGTCTGCCCAACTGGTGGTCTGTGGGTGCCTGCTACAGTCTCTCTCGCTGTCATGTAATGGAGGAGGGTCTTGAGGAAGGGGGGCTGTGGACCATCCATGTGGCATCTCCCAGCTGTACTTAAGTTGAACAGTCCTGTATTAGGAATTCCTTATTATTGGTAACAGTGTTGAAAACTTCTTTAACTTGCATCTGGGGCTCTTTTTTGGGGCCTTACTATCTTGAAAGCTTCCCTAGCATAGTGCTGTCCTGCTTTATTAATGAGAAGGGACGACTTGGGGACTGGTGGGGGAGGCATTAAATTAGAAACATTTTGAATTCTCTGAGGTCAATGGTGTAGCGGGCAAACTGAGTTATGCTAAGGCTTTTAGCTATAGTACAGGCCTTTCCAGAACTAAGCAACAAAATTGAACAGAGCGCCTCCTGTGGCACTGGGAGATGTGAGTGCTGTGACTGGGCACTGGGCGAGCAAGGGACAGCAGTTTCCCTATAAGGAATGTGGCTTGCACCGTACCAGGGGTTGGACAATTTGGGATGAGAGAAGTTACGAAAGCGACGGACAAACAAAGGAACACGCGTGTTCTGTGTTGCCACCCTGGGGAGATGGGAGCAACCTTGGACTTCTTGTTTGAAACTTGCATCCCGCACACCCAGCAGGGGATCTGAGGCCGGTACCACCGAAGGTTGCTGCTGTAATGCCCAAAGGAACTGCTTGCCAGGTTGTATTGCAAGGAAGAAATACTTGTAATAAACCTAGGGGTTACTATTAAAAGTTCACTTGATACCAAATTGGACAAGGGGCTGTGTCAGTCCTTGGGGATCTCTGGTAAAAGGGATACCAGGAATATGGGTTTTTGATGCCTAGTGCAGGAAGACTAGCAAGTATGGCAGAAGACCAGCTTGGTTTAGCAGGGAACTCTTTAGTAAACTAAATCGCAAAAAGGAAGTTTATAAGAAGGGGAAACGTGGACAAATAACTAGGGAAGAGTGTTGCTCGGGCATGCAGGGTTGAAGTCAGGAAGGTCCAAGTGCAATTGGAGCTGTAGCCAGTAAGGGATGTATGTGAAGGGTAAGAAGGGTTTCTACGAGTATGTTGGCAGCAAGAAGAAGATCAGGGAAAGTGTGGGTCTCTTACTGAATAGGGGAGGGAACCTTGTGACCAGAATGTGGAAAAGGCTGAAGTACTCAATGCCTCTTTTGCCTTGGTCTTCACAGGCAAGGTTGGCTCCCAGATTACTGCACCGGGCAGCACAGCTTGGGGAGGAGGTGAGCAGCCAACAGTGGCAAAAGAACAGGTTAGGGGCTACTTAGAAAAGCTGGACATATACAAGTCCATGGGGCCAGATAAGATGCACCCAAGGGTGCTGAGAGAGTTGGCTGCTGTGACTGCAGAGCCACTGGCCATCATCTTTTTGAAAACTCATGGCAATCGGGAGAGGTCCTGGATAATTGTAAAAGGGCAAACACAGTGCGCACATTTAAGAAAGGGGGAAAAGGAGGATCTAGGAAATTATAGACCATTCAGCTTCACCTCAGTCCCTGGAAAAATCATGGAGCAGATCCTCAAGGAATCCATTTCTAAGCACTTGGAGGAGAAGAAGGAGATTAGGAACAGTCAGCATGGATTCACCAAGGGCAAGTCATGCCTGGCCAACCTGATTGACTTCTATGATGAGATGACTGGCTCTGGATGTGGGGAGATCAATGGATGTGGTATATCTTGATTTTTTTTTTTTTTTTTTTAAATTTATTTATTTATTTTTTTAAGCAAGGCTTTTGATATGGTCTCCCACAACATTCTTGCAGGCAAGCTAAGGGAGTATGGGCTGGATTAATGCAGTACAAGGTGGAGAGAACTGACTGGAGGATTGGGCTCAGAGAGGAGTAATCAATGGCTCGATGTCTAGTTGGCAGCCAGAATCGAGTGGAGTGCCCCAGGGGTTAGTCCTGGGGCTGGTTTTGTTCAATGTCTTCAGTGACCTGGAAGATGGCATAGTGCGCACCCTCAGGAAGTTTACAGATGACACCATGCTGGAAGGGAGTAGTAGATATGCTGGAGGGTAGGGCTAGGATTCGGAGTGACCTAGACAAATTAGAGGATTGGGCCAAAAGAAATCTCATGAGGTTCAACAAGGACAAGTGCAAAGTCCTGCACTTGGGACTGAACAATCTCATGCACTAGCACAGGCTGGGGGCTGACTGCTGGGCAGCAGCTCTGCAACAAGCTGAATATGAGCCAGTAGTGTGCCCTTGCTGCCAAGAAGGCTAATGGTATACTGGTTTGCATTGGTAGGTATGTTGCCAGTAGGTCCAGGGAAATTGTTATTCCCCTCTATTCAGTACTGGTGAGGTCACATTTGTAGTGGGGGGCCCAAAACCAAACACAGTACTGCAGAAAGGATGTGGACAAATTGGAGAGTCCCAGTGGAGGGTGACAAAAATGGTGAGGGGGCTGAGGGACATGATTTAAGAGGGAAGACTTGGGGAATTAGGCGTATTTAGTCTAGGAAGAGGAGACTGAGAGGGGACTTTATAGCAGCCTTCAACTACCTGAAGCAGGGCTTGAAAGAGGATGGAGCTGGACTGTTCTCAGTGTTGGCAAATGACAGAACAAGGAGCAATGGTCTCAAGTTGCAGCAAGGGATGTTTAGGTTGGATATTAGGAAGAATTTTCTCAGGAGGAGGGTAGTATAACACTGGAACAGGTTACCCAGAGAGGTGGTAGAAGCTCCATCCTTGGGGGTCTTCAGAACTCCAGACAAAGCTCTGGCTGGGATGATCTGGCTAGGATGGTCCTGCTTGGAGCAGGGGTTGGACTAGATGACCTCCTGAGGTGCCTTCCAACCCTCACTTTTTCTATGATTCTATGACATCCCAGAGTCTTGATCACTGGGTGTTGCTAAGCAAATGTCCTCTGAAAAGTAGGCTTTTTGGCTATGCCTGGCTTGACACTAAAATGAGGCCTCCAGAATTGCCAGTCACTCTTAAATCTTGACTTGATCCTAGGGATGCTCCTTTTCTAAGGATTGGAAGCCTTTTAAACACCTGTTATCCTGGTGTATACAAGTGTGTGGCTTTTGGATAAAAGTTCCTACTTGAACAGCTAAGTCTGTGTAGTGGTCTGAGTGACTCTTCCCTTTGAGAACAATAGAATTAAACTTTTATATCCCAGGAAATCTTGGACAAGAAATGCAACCTACCTGGTCTTTGCCTTTTGATTTTTCCCTGGGATATTAAATATAAATTCACCAGCACCACTTCAGTGGGAGCTATGACTAGAATACTCTGACCTTAGCTGTAGTGGTTGTACTGTTTATTTATCTCAAAAATACTGTTTTACAAAATGCTTTTAATTAAACCAAGGGTTGGCAACATCAGGTCTGCAGGCTGAATCCAGTCTGCAGAGCCACTGGATCTGGCCCACAAAGCTGGAGGGTTTTGCCTGTGCCAGAGGTGAGCAGCAAGGAGGTGGGCTGGGTAAATTCCGGCTGTGCACATACAACCACAGCTTGTCCCTGCACTCCCACCTCACACGCAGACCTACCCTCCTAAAGGCTGCAGTGCGGATGCAGCTACCAAGCTCCGGCACAGCTCCCTGCTGGCTGGAAGCTGCTTCTGTGCCCCATCCAGGGAGCAGGGGGGCTGGGACAAGTGGTGGCAATGTGTGCTCAGCTGCCTGGCCCTGGCATAGGTGCAGGGAAAGCATCCCACTGCTGCTATGCTGCTGAAGCCACGTGGCCCACATCAGACTGGACCTGGGCTGTTCTGCCCCATGGCTTGTAAAGGGTGTGATCTGTAACCTATATCATCAGAGTTAAAACCTCTGGATTTGTTCACATGGACATGTTACATTGGTGCTGTGGGGGAGGGGAGAAGCTGCTTATGAATTAAATTTCCTATTCCCTTAAAATCAAAATGAACTCTAATTTGGTATTGTCATAACTTTCAAATGTATAGATTACTTCCGTAGCTTTCTGTTGGGTGGATTTAAGAATAGTCATACATGAATAGTGACAGATCACTGGGTTTAGGCATGTGATTTAGATTGCTAATTTAATTTAAAAATGCCATATTTGAAAACAAACAATACTTTCGAGCTTTGATTTTAATGCCTAGTTTTTGTTTCTGGCAGTTTCAAATGCTTCAGGAAACACTGGCTGAGATAAATGTGCTCCTCCTTTTGGTCTCCATGAAAGCAAAAGTGAAGCAGAAAAAGGTGGCAGGCCATTAACAACAAATGTCTCAGAGCAGGCAGACAGGTAGATGAACTGTAGCAATGATCTCAGTGGTTGAACTACTGAGGATTGAGTCCATTGGAATAATGCCCTTGGACTAGAATGACATGAAAATGATTTTTTTTTTTTTTAATTTTAATTTTTTAAATTTTGCAGTAGACTAAAAAGTTGTTTCTTAATAATGGTAGCTCATTCCACTTAAATCAGTAGATCGCAAGGCATGCTGTTTGTAGCCATTCACATTTATAAAGTTTAAAACTGGGGTGGATGGGGGAAGAAACATTCTGATGTGGCCTAACTCACGGGCCAGTGAAGGATGAGCATCACTGTGCAAACTGGCAAAACTTGTACCTATTGTAGTATATATTTTGCATAATAATTTACACTGACCTCATTCTTTGGGCCTGGCCCTTGATTTGTTGCTCCCAACTTCTCTTGAGCTTAATAAGGGTTTTTGGTAGGCACAGTCTAAGCCCTTAGCAGCTGGCTCTCTCTCCTCTAAATGTAGCTGGAGTATATCAGTGCCTGATGTCCTGTGGCACTGGATGTTAAGGGTGCCTATACATGAGCAGCGAGGCTGCTTCACGCTGTAATTACAGCATTTGGAGCAAACTCTATTTTAATAGTCTGCTGGAGTATAGCAATTACTGTACTCCGGCATTTCATTTATCAGCATCCCCACGCTGGAAACATGGCAGTGGGGGCACTTCAACTAAAGTTCGTTCGAGCTTTAGTTAAAACACCCCTGCTGTCACCTTTTTCAGCATGAGGACACTGATACACGAGATGCTCTGGACACTTCAATTAGAATGGTTCTTGGAGCCGCTCTAATTAAAGCCTCCCCCTCCCAGAGCACTTGTATAAACGCCCAAAGTGACTGTGTCCTCCTGGGTCTGACACTATATAATCAGTAGAGTACCCCTTGCAATGGTTGTGTATTTATTTATTTTTCTCTATCTCTGTCTTTATCAGGTTTAAACTGTTGTTGTCATTACCACAACCCCTGATGAGTAGAGGAGCAAGAATGATAGAGATCTTGATGTGTGTAGTATAAGAGTTGTGGCTTTTTGACTCTCTCTTGGAGGGGACAGAAAGCCGCTGAACATCTTGTTGTGAAGGCAAGACCTCTTTCACTCCAAAATGTAATGCTGTCTGCACCAGTCA